CCGAAGTTCTGGACCAAACTCCATTGCAGGCGGTCGCATCCGCCCGTCGCAAGCCACAACTTGGCCGCTAGCCCAAGCAAGGGCAAGGTCGGAGAATCCAATTGAGAAGCAAAACGAAGGTTTTGCGACAGTGTTGTTTCTGCGCAGTTTCAGTCCCAAACCCCACCCCCGCCCTAACTTTTCGGACTGAAAGAACATTGCCAACACGGCGCTGACACGCCCCCTCGCCCCCCACGCACGCTCAGCGGCGATGCGCTCCAAGACTGTTGCGAGGAGAGCCAATAGCGCGAGTCACGCCGAGACCCACAACTGTCAGGCATAACATCTTCGTGCCTTGGACTGTTGAACCTACGAATGCTTTACGCAAGAAGAAAGATGGCTTTTTTCAAGTCTTCTTTTGGACAGTAACAAGACCGCGTCCGCGGTGACGTATGGGCAACGACAGCCGTGGGTCCAAGCTACCAAGGTATGCTTATGTTGTATTTCCCGAACCATTGAGCCCAATCGTGTGGTCGACCCCCAACAATACCTTTGGACCAGCGCAGCTCCGATGTTGCAGAATCCGAAACGAGCTCGCCGAACTCGGCGACATGAATACTCAAAAGTAGCACAGTAAAACCTACAACCTAAACGGACCATTCCCATCCATGCCCTCTCTTTTGGCTCGAGGACGAGTGGACAAGCAACGGACATGTGACAAACATGTGGCCTGGCATGCGCAGAAATGCGCAGAGGTGCTTGCAGAAGGCAAAATGGGCAAATCGAAAGCAACATCTAGTGTGCAATTTTCACACATGACACGTGTCACACATGTCGACACACACACACACAGACACAAAGCGCTCTAGAGCGTTTAGACTTTCTACGACACCACGTGCACACAGGGCGTGTTCTCTGCACAAAGAAGACCACAGAAGGGCAGGATTCGGAATATTACGGATTCTGGAGGCCCCCGCTCGAGGCCCGTCAACGCAGATGCGAGGACCTGGTGAGACTCCGCGTGGAACTCTGCGTGGGGCTCCCCCTGGTGGGATCTGTCGGACTCCCCGTGGGTCTCCGGGTCGGGCAGCGGGTCCTTGTCGGCTGCACTGTCGCGTCACTCGAAATCTCTGCAATCTGCAAAATCACTCGCCATCCATGTGTCTCCTGATGCTCCTTGATAAGTCGCCGGCACTTGTTTCCCCGATACGTCCTGAGCCTGTGGAAAGGGGACTGTGGCAGAAGGAAGATATGGGAGAGAAGTAGAGAAGAGGAATCTGAGTGAAAAGCAGATCTGAGCGGAAAGCATTTTTTGGAAGAATTTCTCAGGGAGAGGCAGGCAGCTCTCGCGCATGGCTGATATATCGCGCGCCTCCGCCCGCGCCTCCTCCACCTCCTCGGGATCCGAGTTGGAACTCCCGCAATCGTTGGCGGCGCTCTGACAAGGACGCGTACCACGCCTCAGTCGGAGAGATCTCAGGCGAATTCATGTTTTTTGCCCTCCGGCTACCATGAATGCCTGCCATGCCTGCAAGAAAAGCTGAGGAAGTCAGAAAAATTGCGAGAGCCCAAAGAGAATGTGAACTAATCAAGAGTCCTGAATCAAAAGTTAAAGCGGCCTCTCAGGCCTCGACGTTCGCGGAGCTGATGCAGCTGTCCCTGTCCTTTGCCACTGCCGCATTAGTGCTGCATGTGCCGCATGCAGGCTTGTGACATCTCCTCGATGATCTGCGGCAGCTTGCCTGCAACACCAATGCGATACCACCTTGCATGCGCAACCCAGTGACCCGGCCGGCAAGCAAGTCCAGCAGACTCCTGGCACGGTTGTGCTCTCTCGTTTAATTAGGGGGCTCCCAGCTTCTGTGTCACCTTCAGGAGCACCTGACTCTTAGTTCCTATAGCCTAGCTTTCAAGCACTGTCCAGACCAAAGGTGCGCACAGCGCTCCTCGGCGCTGTTTTCTCTCCTTCTTCTCTCCCTTCTTCTCTCCCTCTTGTCTTCCTTCTTATCTTCCTTCTTCTTTCTCCTTCTTCTTCTCTCACTGTACTCTCCTGAGGAACTCGAGCGATGCAAAGCCTGGTGGACCAACCTCAGAAACAGATCAGGTCCCAAAACCACTGGGAAGTGATGTGGCCCCCAAAGCACGTCTCTGTGCGCACATCTCTGTGCACATCTCACATCTCTGCACACCAAAACTCTTGACCGGCGGCATCCCAAAGCTCCTGGGCCTTAGCTCTCAGTGGGCGCATCTCCTGAATACAACTTTGTGACACCATAGTTCATAGCTCAACAGCGCAAATGCCCAGAGTCTCTGAGTAGTACCTCCGTACATTTCCGTACATACCTCCGTACATTTCCGTACATACCTCCGTACCTCCGTACCTCGGTACCTAGGTACCTCTCTCTCTCTCTCTCATTCTCTGTGGAGTGCGGTGCTCTCTTTCCTGCGGCTCTCGGGCCCGAGCCAAAGCCTCTGGGGCAGTTGCCTGGGTCACATTTCAATCATTTCACATTTTCACAGAAGCTCAAAGCTCTCTTCTTTTTGACGCCCCTAGTTGAACTGAGAAGCATTTTCTCTCGTGTCGGAGAAGAGGTGGCTGCAAAGGATTTGCGGCCTCAGCAACAATCAACAATCAAGGCCAGGCCTTCTCACGTTCTGTTTCTTTTTAACACGTTGAAGGATTTTTGAGATGCTTTCCCCACCCTCGGTGTGGGGTTGTTAGATTTTAAACTCAACTCTTCTTCTCACGGGTCTACTCCTCGCTCATCCCTGGAGTGCCCAACCGCAGATTTTCCCCGGAGTGCCCAGCCCCAGAGTCTCCCTGGGGTGCCCAACCCCAGAGTCTCCCTGGAGTGCCCACCAGAGTGTCCCCGGAGTGCCCGTGGAGTGCCTCAGAGTCTCCCTGGAGTGCCCAACCCAGAGTATCTCTACTAAGAGAGGGCGGGGATGTTCGAAGTAAAATAATTGAGACGCTTTTTCCCGAAAGCATCGCGAAGGGTTCTTCCGTGCGGAGCCCTCTGACCCAACAACATAGACTGAAGTGCATAGAGTGAAGTGCATAGAGTGAAGTGCATAGAGTGAAGCGCATAGAGTGAAGCGCGCAGAGTGAAGTGCATAGAGTGAAGAGCATAGAGTCGAGTGAAGCACATAGAGTGAAGTGCAATAGAGTGAAGTGCATAGAGAGAAGTGCATAGAGTAAAGCGCATAGAGTCAAGTGCATAGAGTCAAGTGCATAGAGTCAAGAGCATAGAGTGAAGCGCATAGAGTGAGGTTCAATAGAGTGAAGTGCAATAGAGTGAAGTGCATAGAGTGAAGTGCATAGAGTGAATTGCATAGAGTGAAGTGCGTAGAGTGAATTGCATAGAGTGAAGCGCATAGAGTGAAGTAGAAGTTAATAGAAATTACGAGATTTACGTAGAATTTAGTAGACCTTCGTACCTTGTCCTAGATGTCTTAATTAAAATTACTCTTTCTAAGGCGGCGGGCTGGGTTGACATCGCCAATCGGGATTGCAACCCTCTGCGGGTTTCGGCGTGGTCGCGGTGCTAAAACCGTCGTTTTTTACGTTTCTTGATTTGCGCGGACAACCCTCTGCGGGTTTCGGCGTGGTCGCGGTGCTAAAACCGTCGTTTTTTTACGTTTCTTTCTGGCCGCGGACAACCCTCTGCGGGTGATCGCCGGGTCGCGGTGCTAAAACTGTCGTTTTTGGTACTTTTTTTCGTGGGCGCAGACAACCCTCTGCGGGTTTCGGCGTTGGCACGGTGCCAAAACCGTCGTGTTTTTGCGTTTCTTGACATACAAACGTAACCCCTCTGCGGGTTTTCGCGTGGTCGCGGTGCCAAAACCATCGTGTTTTTGCGTTTCTTGACATACAATCGTAACCCCTCTGCGGGTTTTCGCGTGGTCGCGGTGCTAAAACCGTAGTGTTTTTGCATTTTTTTCCGACTTTTGTAGTACAGACGTTGTCGCCGGGGACTTCCGTGGCTGGAAAGTCGACTTTTGTAGTACAGACGTATAGTATGCCGGGACACCCGGAGCCTCCGTGGCTGGAAAGTCGACGTAACGGACATCTGGGCGCTCCAAAACCATCGCAAATACCATGGTCCCCGAATTCGCTGGTTTCAAAACCATCGCAAATACCATGGTCCCCGAATTCGCCGGTTCCAAAACCATCGTAAATACCATGGTCCCCGAATTCGCTGGTTCCAAAACACCATCGCGAAAACCATGGTCCCCGAATTCGCTGGTTCCAAAACCATCGCAAATACCATGGTCCCCGAATTCGCTGGTTCCAAAACCATCGCAAATACCATGGTCCCCAGTTGAACAGGTCAGAACCTGGCCTAAGCCTGAAAGGGGAAGGACCAGACACAACCAAAAGAAGGGTTTAGGGACCCTCAAAGCCCTCAACCCTGCGCGCAAGCCGCACCTCATGCGGCCTTTTTGCTTGAGCCAAAAGTCAGAAGGTAAGCCATCCTGATCTGCATAACATGACTATACATACATCACTTTACAGGAAGGAAGCTCGTGATTCTTCAACTCCCCCCTTCATGTTTGCAGATTCTCAAGTCCTAGAGCTCATTTGAAGCTCGATTCTGGACTTCAGGAAGCAACAGCTACGAGCTCAACTCTGCAGCCAAACCTACTGTCGATTGAAGTACAGGCTTAGCCATGCACAAATTGAATCCGGTATCTCAGGTGATCGGGCTGAAACGTAGACTCAATATACCTTTAAGGTAATTCTACCTGCGATCTATACAAAACTACTCTCAACCGGTGCAGGACTGTGCTCAGGCGGAGTCAGAGCGGCGCTTGGGAGCAGCCGTACACTGACACAACGCAGTGCAAGGCTGAGGGCAGGCAAGAAGTGCAGGATGAGATCCTCAAGAACTCATTCAGATGACACAGGGATGATGGCTCATATCCAAGTGTCTGCAAAAGTACGGAGCAGCTTGACAACCATCACAAACATATCACCCAAGGAATTTTCAAAAGACTTCAGGTGACAGGGAAGTGCATGCTTAGATGGGAACATCTGGCAGATGCTCAGTGGAGATGTGGAGCAACTTCAGTGCATGAGCCCACTTCTGGACCGAAAGAGCCTTCGTCAAAGGATCACCTTTCTGGTCATTAGTGTTGACATAGCCCAGTTCAACATCATCGTTGTCGTTCACAGCTTCGCACGTAGATGAAACGTTGATGCGATGAGTTTTGGACAAATGCCTCAGCTTAGCTGAATATCCTTTACGGACAATGGCAATGCAAGCTTCATTATCTTCACGACACAAGAGCTTAATGCCAGGGATTATGGTTTGCCAAACTTCAAGTAATGGCAAGGCATCATTGAACAGCGCACTGCTCAAGGACACGAATTCTGCTTCGGTAGAGCTCCTTGAGACCACTTTCTGTCTCTTGCTGGACCATGACAGAAGAGCAAATGAGTTGCTTCCTTCAAGGGCAACGATATACCCACTTGTGGAACGCGCGGTGTCAGGACAGCCGCCGAAATCTGAATCCACATACAGGGCAAGGTGCAAAGATGAAGCTGGGTCGTGGACAAACATCACAGGGTTGTATTGAACCGTCGCAGCAATGTAACCCACCAACCTGGCAACCCTTTTATCATCGTTCACTGACCAACGACAGACATTGGTCGTGAGGGTAGTGACGGCCACCATAAGATCTGGGCGATTCAAACGTGCAAGCCACAGAATCTTCATCAGGATGCGAGCGGCGCTGTCAGCAAGAGAACCCCGAGCATCATTATCACTTAGTGATAGAGCTACTGGGTCAACATGCGGGGTCCTCTGGTGCTTAACAGCGGAACCAACCAAGGATTCATACAAGTCAACACACTGTTTGGAGGCTCGAGGTCAACTTGTTTCGACAAGGAACTCCAGAAACCTTTATGCTTCGACAACTTCCCGCTCAATGTGAGGTCGTCAACATATACGCACAAGATCAGATCCAATGTGGGAAAATAATACACAGAAGGAAGGTTGGGGAATTCAATTCCACCAAGACCAGTGAGAATACCACGCAAATGCCTTTGCCAATGCGCTGATGACTCAGGGTGTCCATACAAGGCCTTGTAGAGCGGTGCACAGGGCTGAATTACGTCTCTCTTGGAAGCTGGGACGAGTTCTGGTGGCAAGAGGACGAAAGTTCGGTTTTTGCTCTTCAAGGCTGCTTGTGTATACGCCTTAATGGCGTCGCTAGTTGTCACACCATGAGATTCGAGAAGACCGAATCCAATGACCGTGTTCAGTCCCTCAAGCGAAGAAGGGGCAGACGCGAAGAGTTCTTCGAACACAGCAGACATTCCAGTCTGGTCACGTACATCGTCGCCACGAAAGACGATACGCGCCTTAAGCTTCCAAGAATCAGGCTCTAGTTCGGCGCCTTTCACACTCATGATGACCATCAAGTTTCCGAAGTGGATCACATTGGAAGTCCTGCGAGCCCATGCAAGAACCTCACTCTTCGGCATGATCTCTTCTTCTATCCAGGTACCTGCCTTCAAAAGACCATCCTTTTCTTCTTGGACCTTTTCAAGCGCAGCAGGCTGGGAAGTCCATTCCCTTCTATCCAACAGCCGATGGACGTAACCAGGCGCATACCAGACTCAAACATCAGGAGATCGAGCGGTAGTGGCGGCCGAACGTCCTTAACCCTGTGAAGTTGAGGAAAAGTGGGCACACATGGCAACGCTGGTGCAACAAATGCTTTCGCATAAGGAAGCAAAGATGCCAAAATTGCTCTGGCCATGGCCTCAGGGTAAAAGGCTGAGCGTCTTGAGTCAGAACCTTCAACGGTATCGTGCTTGAAGTGCTTAGGATGTGAACACTGATAAGCCGCAAAGTCATGTGCCAAACGCTTACTACTAGTCAATATCTTCCAAGGCTTCAGCATTGGGCCACCTCTGGAAGACACAAGTCCGAAAGCGCATCCGTGGAACTCAACGGTGAGAAGATTGAACTGGTCAACAAAAGCAATGATCTCAGGCAAAGACCAACCAGCAGCGTCTCTTGGCCACTCGAAACTTACTTCACCCCCCTGAAGTATGACTAATGCAGCAACCCGGATGAATTGCAACAACAGCTTCCGGGATTTCTCCCTTTCGGCGGTAAGCTTTTCAAGGTATCCCGGCTTAGTGGCCAGGTTCATGCGGGACCACGCTGACCAAGGTCCACATTCAAGGGATCCATGGATGCAGCAACCAGGAGTTGCACTGACTTGGTGGATGAGCTGATCGATGGCCAAGGGATCCTCGAGATTGATGCTTTCACGGCACAACCGAACCACTTGAACACCCAGTTCTGGACCAAGGTGCCCAATCATGGAATCCGGAGCGCAGCAAAACTCATAAAGTACCAATGCACCAGGCTTCTGATGCCGACAGGCAGGCAAGCTCCAACACCGGGGAGTGCTTCATCATCTTCGGGAATGGAAGGTTCGTATTCCGGCGTCCTGAGGAAGTCTAGCTCTGACTCAGAATCTCTTCCTGTAGACCTACCCAAAGCAGCAAGTTCCACTTCAACTGCTTCTTCATCGGCTGGGTCGATCTCAGGCGGAAGATCAGGCAAACCAAGATGCTCGAAAGACAAGAGCCTCTCGTGATCCTCAAAAGGTTGAGACGAAGTTTTGGCCTCGTCCCCGAACGCCTTTTCAAAACGAGCAACACATTCAGGATTGTGGTCGGAACGGTCTCTTTCACAGGCAGTACAGCCTGGAGTAGGGCCAAGCTTCAGAAATCTTGAATAGGTGATGTAGATCCTTCGGGCCTTTTTCTTGATGTTGGCTTGGTCGCCTGAGAAAGGCAGAGGAAGAGGATCTGGTATTGCGAAGTCTTCTCCTCCACAAAGTTGCAGCGTGTGTTCGGCTGCGTTTTTGAGGGGAAACACTGGATCGCCAGAGCGCACATACAGTTCTGCTTCAGGAACAGATATTACCTCTTCCCAAGAACCAAGTTTGAATCGAACTTTGGCTAAATCCAGCACGTATACAACCGACCTATACAAGAACCCAGGCTCCAATCTCCATCCGGCAAACAACCCTGGCTTGGCATTTGGACCAAACTTGCTATCTGCTCGTGCCCGATAGAAAACAAGTTGGCCTAAGATTAATTCCCGAGGCGGGACGTCTTCGGCATCGAAGTGCGCAACTGCAAAGTCCCATCGTGAGAGATCAGATTCGAGAGGAGCAGGATGCGAAAGGTTCATCGCCATTGACCCGTAGCGGCAAGCCACTGTCCACAACTCAGGTCTGACAGCAAACCCTGCTTCAAGAAAAGATGACCTGACTCCTTCTTGGAAAGACCGAATTTCACGCTCAAGTTGAGAATTGTGAGGAAACCGGTTCGGCAATGAAGGCATGTGTAACCAGCCCAAGGTTTCTGCAGCAAGCTTGAATTCATCTGCTGCATCAGAAACCAGCGATACCGGTTTGCTGCACACTTTCCTCCCAACAAAACGCTTGAGGCATGTCAAGATGGAATCAGTTGAACGATCTGTGGCAGGGTAAGCAGCAAACAATCCTGTGAAGCGATCTCGAAGGCACAACACCACATACTCTCTTCCGGGAGCATTGGAGTCACTAGGTGACTTGAACACATGGATGTGATCAGCTGCAATAACCTCTCCAAACTCCGAAGCTTCAAGCAACGCGGGCTCAGAATCCTCATCACGAGGCTTGCGGCGCACCCTTCGGGATAAGAGTTTGGATCGATTGCACACATCGCAGAACGGGTTCTTTGGGAAATGGAATAAGCGATGCTTCACGCTCACAGCTTCATCTCTCAATTTGCGAACTCGATCGCTGACATGGGCATCGTCCACAATGGGAACTGCCGGCGAACTCACATCTAAAGGCTTGTCCCCTTCAGGAAGCGCAGATGCAGCTGGACCATCAGGGTTTGCCTCGACAAGATGTTCCTTGGGCAGCCCCCCTGACGAAGAGGAAGGCACTTCGGACGACTCAATCTCTGCTGGAATGACATCAACCAGCGGGTGACTGTCCAAAGGAAATCCAACTCCTATGAGAGCATCTAAGACATCAAGCTCAAGAGAAGCTGGATCTTTTGCTGCGTACAAGATCATCACCAGCCGATCACCAGTCCAAGGTTGCGTGGCATGTAGTCGATTTTTGGCAGAGAACTGGATAACCCCTTTCTTGAAACTCAAAATCTTGCCAATTTGCGAAACGCTTGGAAAAGGACATTTGTCTCTTCCTGCAGCATCTTCAATCCAAACACCACCACCGGTAAAGCCCCCCAACGAGATGACAACATTGTCAATCCCAGCATTATGGGAATCCTTGTGAGGATCTGCGGACACATTGTGCAGCAAATTGATGGTGGTGTAAACATGCCCAGGGGCTTTGCGCTGCGCAAATTGGTTCAATGCACGAGTCACGAAAGGGTACTCCTTCGTAGACTTCAAAAGACCGACCACACCACCTCGACGGAAGCAGCCAACTGCAAAGGACGAGTCGTTGCTCGGCTCAATCCCTCGGGATGCTGAACCACGCTTCACAAGTCCAAAGATCTTACGAACTTGATTGGGCTGAACATCACCACGCTTTGTTAGGAGGTCTTTGGCATACTGTTCAGCTGGATCATGGGCAAAGGGGGTCAAAGGCTCTTGGCTTTCCTCACCAGACCCTTCAAGAGAATCAGCTGATGCAGCCATGCCGTGGACAAACTGAACTTTGCTGGTGAAAATAGGCACATGCTCATCTATGCGCGTTGCATAAAACTTGGCCTCCTCAGCGCAATCAATCCGAAGCTTAGACAAGTCATGCACAAAGAAAGGAAGGGAACCAGGTAACCATATGAAGGCCTTCCCGGATTCAACATCCAAACCGGTGCTCCGAACAACTGGACAGTTGTCCAACATGTAGTGGTTGGCGAGAGGCATATTGTCGGATGCAAATCCCAAACTCTGAGAGCCAGGCTGAGGTCCACCACCTGTGTGGAACGTAACAGGGCTCGCTGAGTGCGCAAGAAACGACCTGTATGACTCCGACGGAATTGCCTGGTCTGCCAGCGCTCGCGCCGATCCAAGATGCCGGCCAGCAGCTGTGTCGGCAGCCCATTCAACGCTGAAAGCGTTGCTCCCAGGAATGTTGCACATGCTTGAGGCAGCCATCATTGCCACGACTGCTTTCGCAACAGCTCCTGGGGACTTGGGCTTGGAAGCGGCGGCCTTAGGCTTAGACTTAGGGTCAACCTTAGGGGTCTTATCAGGGGCGTGGCTGTACTTGCAATTCTCTCCATGCATGCAACCAGACGACATTCTGAAGAAAATGCAAGGTGTCTTGGCTTTTTCTGCATCTGACATGCCTTTTGCTTTCGCTTTAGCTTTCGTCTTAGGCTTGGGACTTGGTGCGGGATTCGCAGGTACTGGAGCCTTCGGTGGAGGTCCAGTGGACACTGGGGCAGGAGTCTTGGCCTTTAAAAAACTCCAAGATACCTCCTTACTCTCTGCAGGAACACGCCTTGTCTTTGCCTGTGGAGCTGCAATTTGCAAGGACTTCATCACTGAGTGAGAGTTTGCGTCTTCTCGCTCTTGAACAAGGATATCTTGTATTTTGTTCCATAAGTAATCCCACTCACGACGACGGGATTCTGATGCAGAGTCTCTGATATCCTCGATGACGCGTTCCAACTTTCGAATATGCTTCACCCGGTGGAACAGCCATTCGCCAGTGAGGCGATCATCTGGCCTCGCTCCGACCGGTATGGCATACAGAACAGTCCTTACGCGTTGCACAAAGTCTCGGAGATCTCGCATGGAGTTTCCCCCGATTTCAACCTGGAACAACGTCGAAGCAGTCAGCACAGTACCTCGAACACGGTCGATGCTGAAATGACGAGCAAGAAGGGCAAGCGTGTATCGACCTTTCGGCTGGGACCGTGCTTGGCCGCACAACTCAACATAGGCAATTACCTCTTGCTCCAACTCAGTCACTTGCTTCAACACGCGCAAGGACGTCATCTCTCCAGCAATCCAAGCGTCAAGGCGAGGGAGAAAACCAGACTCAGTAAGGTCTTCTTTTTCAGCTGTGAAAGACTGAGACAGCCATTCAACGACCAAACCTTCTCCTGACATATCAAGCTTGGCTCGGAAACCAGCAGCGTCGGAAGGAACCGGTTCAAGCTTGAGATGCAACAAAGCTCGGTAGTCAACAATGTGCTTCTCTTGCCTCTCAGGCTCTTCGATCTCATGAACAGGAGATGCATCATTGCATCCTTGATCCGTGCCATTTCTTTGGGCAAGCAGTTGCTGGACGACATCAATCAACTGGTCAACACGAGGGTCGGAAACGGTTGCAGGAGGGCAAGGGGTTGACTCATTGACAACTTGCGGCAATGAAGGTGCACCATTATTGCCCCCATCCGAACCGATATGTACCCAACTAGAACCACCAGAACAGGCACTTGGTGCAATTGCAGATGGCACATCTTGCTGGCGAAGTGCAGGCTTTGGAGGTGAAGACCCAGGACTCGTGGCGCTTAAAGCAGCCTGACGAAGTCTCTGAATCTCACGGTCTTTGACTTGCCACTCAACACGTAGCTGGGTGTTTTGGAAGTTCAGCAAGTTGTTATCACCCCGGCAGCTGGTTAGGGCGGCTTCAAGCTCTTGGTACCCTGCACGAGCAACCTGAAGTTCAGCTTCGACTTTGCTTAGCTCAGCCTTAGCTACGGATAGCTGTTCTTCCAAGATTCGACCCTGTTGAAGGATCTCATCATAACGATGTTCGTATTGTTGCAACTGCTCACGCATTTGCTCAACGGTGGCTTCAACCAAACCTCTAGCCTCATTCTCTACCTGCTCTAGCCTTACAGCATGTAGCTGCTCAGCATGATCAGCCACTTGCTGCGCTGCTTGGGCTGCAGCCAAACGTTGGGCATCCAGGACTTCTTGTGGGGACGCTCCTACGTTCAGGATGTTCTGCGTGTATGAGGCTTGAGCAGTTAGATTGGGGTAAGGGTCTGAGTGCTCACAAGATCTGCGAGGACCTGACAAGGCTCGTCTTGTCAGAGGAGGGGACCTTTCACGGAGTTCAACTGCAGAACTACTCGTAACCGAACCACTATCTGAACCGATACCACCCGGCAATGCCATGGCTGAGGCACTTGACAAATCAAGCACCGAGCTAGCTTG